TGTGTGTGTGTGTGTGTGTGTGTGTGTGTGTGTGTGTGTGTGTGTGTGCTGATCCCATTGGGTAGTCTGGAGTAGTGCCTAAGAATCTGTATTTTCAACAAGCTGCAGGAGATGCTGGTGTTGCTGGTCCCAACACCCAGTAACACAGCATGTGATTAGGATGTCTAAAGGTGAAGGAGAGAGGTCTGACAGGTAGACATAGCTCCAGAGCTTTTGAACAATGTGACTGTGGGTAGCAAGCTAGCTTCCCCAACTCAGAGAACATAACAACACAACCAACTCTTTTGTTAGTAGTACTGAGACTGGAACTCAGGGCCTCACACGTGCAAGGTAAGTGCTCTACCACTAAAATTACACTCCCAGCCCTTTGTACACTACTTATTTTTGCAAACAGGGTCTCTGGCTCTTTCCTAGGGCCAGCCTCGGATTGAAGTCCTCCTACTTACGCTTCCCACATAGTTGGAATTACAGCTGTGTATTGCTCTAATTGGATTGTTCTTTGAGATAGGGTCTGGTTCACTTTTTCCCTGGATCTGGCCTTGAATTGCAACTCTCCTGACTCCATCGTCCAAGCAGCTGAAAATACAGGTGTTAGCTTCTATACCTGGCAGTGGTACCCACTTTCTTTCTAAGGCTGTGCAGATGGCGCCATGCCTGTTCTTAACATAGCACTTGGCATCACTCAGACAGAAGTTGTGCTTGCTGTTGTTTCTGAGGGAAGAAGCCAGTGTGCGCTCACTAATTGTTCACTGCTTTGTTATTATCTATTGAGAGCTACATATGGTATGTGAGCCACTGTGCCAGGTAGTGCTTCACCACTGCACTTCTGTGCTAGGTAGGATTTTTTTTTTCTGCTTAGAAGATGAGAAAGCCAGAGTTCAGATGGCTTTAGTAGCTTGATCAGAGTCTTTATAAAGGTAGTCAAAAGCAGAGCTGGAGTTGAATTCAGGTGCTCCTGCCTGAGTTTTTAGCAGGCATGGGTGGGTCTGCCTGCACCTGTCTGAAAGTCTGTGTCTAGCCAGGCTGGAAAGTAACAGTTCAAAATCCAGGACAATCCAACATCATCAGGACCAGGGTGTGTGGGAAAAGAAAAGGGCAGGGCAGAGGCCTGGAGGCCACAATGCTAAGAAATAGAGAGAAGTCAGGCCAAGAGAGGGAGAGGAGCCAGGCTCCACCAGATCTGGAGCCCTGGCAATCAAAGGTGACACAAACTGGGTTTTCTCAGTTTTTGTGCCTATTAGAGCACTGACCCATAGTTGTGCTTCTCAAAGATATGGACAGACTGACAGACAGACAGGTAAATAGACAGACAGACAGACAGGTAGATAGACAGACAGACGGACGGATGGACAGACGGACAGACAGACAGACAGATGACAGACAGGCAGTTGAGCTGGGTGCCAGTTGCTCACATTGTAAGCCTAGCTTAGGAGGCTGAGATCTTAGAATCATGGTTCAAAGCTAACACAGGCAGGAAAGTCCATGTGACTCTTATCTCCAGTTAACCAGCAGAAAGTTAGAAGTGGAGCTGTGGCTCAAGCAGAAGAGCACCAGCCTTGAGTGAAAAAGCTAAGAAATAGTACCCAGGTCCTGAACTCAGATGTGTGTGCGTGCGCACACACACACATTTGGAATCATGAATTACTTAATAGACTCAGTAACATTTGAAAGCAGTCACTGATTTGCAATTGCTGGGCAGGATCATTTGGAGCTGGGGAGAGATCTTCACTTCTTAAGAAGAAAGGAGGAGTTGTGGAGCATAGAAGAACACTGGAATATTTCCCTTGGAGCACGGCCAGCACACACAATGCCT